GGGGGGGGTAACAAGGGCCTTTCCCCCCCCAGACTCACGGATTTGATGTCGTCGGACGTGATGGCCTTGCCGTGCTTGTCGATGGCCCCCTCGGCCACGATGATGATGTTCAGCCGGGAGCCGCCGTCCCGGGTCTGGGGGGTGGCAGAGGGTGACAGTGGGCACCGGGACGGGGACAGTGGGCACTGGGACGGGGACAGTGGGCACTGGGACAGGGACCAGGGGCTCTCCAGAGCCCCCCCTACCTCCGTCAGCCTCCGACACAGATGGTCCTCCCAGTCGTCCTCGGGGGGGGACTCAGGGATGAAGACCCAGTCAGCCCCGCAGGCCAGGGCGGTGATGAGGGCCAGGTACCTGCAGGGAGTTCAAAAGGGGCTCTTTAGGGTTTTTTTTTCCTGTACTTTCTCCCCAGGGATTTGGGTCTGGGGGGCAGCACGGGGACTTACCCGCAGTGACGCCCCATCACCTCCAGGACAAAGGTCCTCTGGTGGCTGTGGGTGGGAAAGAGGAGAATCACGGAATCACAGGTTGGAAAAGACCTCTGAGATCGCCCGGTCCAACCCGTGACCCACCACCATGTTGTCACCCAGACCATGGCACCACATCCAGTCCCTTCCCAAACCCCTCCAGGGATTGGTGACTCCACCACCTCCCTGAGCAACCCCTTCCAATCTTTAATCCCCTTTCTAGGAAGAAATTCCTCCATCCCTGGAGGTTTTTAAGCTGAGACTGGATGTGGGATCAGTGCCACGGTCTGGGAACCACGGCGGGATTGGATCAAGGGTTGGACTGGATGATCCCAGAGGTCTTTTCCAACCCAGTTGATTCCATGTTTCTATGATTCAAATCGCAGAATCACAGGTTGAAAAAGACCTCTGGGATCATCCAGCCCGGCCCATGATCCCCACCCTGTCAGCCAGACCATGGCACCACATCTAGTCTCTCCTAAAACCCTTCCAGGGATTGGTGACTCCACCACCTCCCTGAGCAGCCCCTTCCAAGGTTTAATCCCCCTTTCCGAGAAGAAATTCCTCCAAATCACAGAATCACAGGTTGGAAAAGACCTCTGAGATTGTCCAGCCCAAC